GTTTTGAACAAATGTATTTATGCCAGTTGCACATGGACTCCTGTCAGCCTGGAAGTCATGGTTGAAAGTAAGAGATGACAAAAAAAAAAACAAAAAGAGGAAAAAGTGACAGCAAGTTTCCTTTTGTAGGTCAAGCATCACAGATTGTGCTTTTTTTGTGAATTCACTCCCACATCCTGCTTCAGAGGATGGAGGGAGATAAACACATAGTTTCCCCTATGTGTCATGTATTCTCTCCAACGTGACCTGTTATAGCTGCTTAACAAGAAAAAAAAACACAAGGAGAGAAACCTGGCTGTTCACATCTGCAAGTTTAAGTCACTTCTATAGGAATGCTTCTATTTTCAAACATTTAAAAAAGTGCCATTAAGTTCCCTCCTGTGGCTAATGTTGAATTTCTGCTCTCTGACGCCCCCATCCACCAATACCTCAGGGCCTGGCTGAAAATCTTTGCTTCCCGCCTCTGATCAAGATAGCTTGTTTTTTTTTTTCCCACCACTGTCTGTTAGCATTAGATAGGACAAGTTTCTGCAGGAAAACAGAAACGGTTCCTCTGTCTGCTTGTTTGCTCTGCTGTGATTGCATTATTTGTGTATCCTCTGATGGATGTTTACTGTAGTACACAGGATGGATCGGCGTGGTTAGGATCATAGGTCAGTGCCATACAAAGATAAAAGGGGCTAAAGAGTTGAGATTGTTTATTTTATCTTCGAGCATCCCTCAGGCACATGGGATTGCTGGTTTGGGGCCTTTTCCTTTCTTTTTTTTTTTTTTTTTTTTTTTTTTTACATATTTTAGCACATCTGTCTTAAAATCTGCATTTTATGTTTAAAGATGTTCTTTATTCTTTGTGTTCTTGTACATATGTGTTTTTTTTCTTGGTCCATTGATTGCTCCATGTACCTGTTTTGCCTCTAACTGATCAGTCAATTGTAAAACGACGTCTAATATTTGATGTCTGCAGTTTTTAACGAAGACCAAATGAGACCGGCTCACGTCCGGTCAACTGAAGAGTTTTAATCTGGTTCTGATATTATTCAGAACGCCAAGAAATGCAAAACATTTCCACTTAGTTTTCAATGTGAATTTCTCATCTCTTTCTGTAGTACAGTTGCCCAACCAGGCTCACATTATGGCATTTGAAGAAATATCCAAACAGTTATTTGCTTTTATTTTGAAAGTTTACACATCGTACTCGATCGATGTTGCCGTGTTTATCTGTCGTAAACATTGTTGATTTGTGTTTGTGACAAACATGTCATCATCTGGTGAGAGCAGTTTCTAATGTAACCAGGTTGTTTTTTATTTTGCTGGTTTTTAAGAAACGTGACAAACAGGATTTGAGTGGACCCCGTTGTAGGGCTGCACACACACACACCTGTACACACACACACGTGTATATATTTTGAATGCTATGCACACACGCTGAAAGATGAGAAACATTCATATCCTGGGAACAGTCTGCCAAAACTTTCCTGCTCCGCTGAGTCTGTCTGTAGAAAAACGTATCTGAGTTCGCTCAGTGGAACCGTCTGATCGTCTGCTCCGTGTGTGCTTGTGTCGCACGTCGCTTTTTTTCGCCCGCGCACTCCCTCTTCAAAAAGCCGGAGCGGCGCGTGTCTGTTTCCTGGCCCCGACATGCGTTCATGTATTTTTAAACGAGGAAACAAAAAAGGAAAACGCGAAACAAAACCGTAATAGAATTTTTCGGTGGGCTTCAGATGGATGTGTGTCTGTGGGGGTAACACAACAGATGTTCCAGATTGAAGCAGGCGTAGGATTATTTACTGGATTAAATGCCACAAAGCGTTCTTTCGTATTTTGATTTAATATGAACATATCACAACGTTTTTAATGTAATTAGGGTGGTCGTTTCAATCAAGAACAGCTCAAATTCTCCAGTAATTGTTCAGTTTTTCTTCAGATATCCAACCCCAAACCTTCATTTTGCTCTACTCTTCCCCTCACACCCCCAACGGTCCCAACACATCAACCCAGAAGGGGATCACCTGTGAACATACAGCGGGTCAAATAAGTATTGAACACGTCACCATTTTTCTCAGTAAATATATTACTAGAGGTGCTAATGATGTGAAATTTTCACCAGATGTCGGTAACAACCCAAGTGATCCATACATACAAAGAAATCAAACCATAAATGTCCAGAAATGAAGTTATTTGTAATAATGTGGAATGGCACAGGGAAAAAGTATTGAACACACTTACTGAAATTTATCTAATACTTTGTACAAAAGTCTTTGTTGTCAATGACAGCTTCAAGACGCCTCCTGTATGGAGAAACTAGTGGCATGCATTGCTCAGGTGTGATTTTGGCCCATTCTTCCACAAACAGTCTTCAAATCTTGAAGGTTTCGTGGACCTCTTCTATGAACTCTGATCTTTAGTTCTTTCCATAGATTTTCTGTTGGATTCAGGTCAGGTGATTGGCTGGGCCATTCCAGCAGCTTTAGTTTCTTTCTCTGAAACCAACTGAGAGTTTCCTTGGCTTTGTGTTTGGGCTCATTGTCTTGCTGAAATGTCCAGCCACGTTTCATCTTCATCATCCTGGTAGATGGAAGCAGATTTTTATCAAGAATGTCTCTGTACATTTTTCCATTCATCCTTCCTTCAATTATTTGAAGTTTACCAGTACCGTATGCTGAAAAACAGCCCCACACCATGATGTTCCCACCTCCAAACTTCACTGTTGGTATGGTGTTTTTGGGCTGATGTGCAGTGCCATTTGACCTCCAAACATGATGTGTATTCTGACATCCAAACAGTTCAATGATGGTCTCATCTGACCAGACTATATTCTCCCAGTATTACACAGGCTTGTCTAAATGTTGTGCAGCAAACTTTAAAGGAGCTTCAACATGCTGTTTCTTCAGCAGTGGAGTCTTGCGTGGTGAGCGTGCAAACAGGCCATGGTGGTTCAGTGCATTACTTATTGTTTTCTTTGAAACAAACGTACCTGCTAATTCCAGGTCTTTCTGAAGCTCTCCACAAGTGGTCCTTGGCTCTTGGACAACTCTTCTGATAATTCTTTTCACTCCTCTGTCAGAAATCTTGTGAGGAGCACCTGGTCGTGGTCGGTTTATGGTGAAATAATGTTCTTTCCACTTCTGAATTATGGCCCCAACAGTGCTTACTGGAACCTTCAGAAGTGTAGACATTCTTCTGTAACTGATGCCATCATTATGCTTTGCAACAATAAGGTTGTGAAGGTCTTGAGAGAGCTCTTTACTTTTACCCATCATCAGATGGTTCTTGTGTGATACCTGGCCATCATTTGGGACTGAACCAGCTGATATTAATTTGCACTGACAAGGGGCAGGCTTGTTTACTAATTACTGAGAGAGTTCAGCTGGTGTCTTGGCTTTCCATGCCTTTTTACACCTCCCTTTCTTCATGTGTTCAATACTTTTGTCCCTGTGCCATTCCACATTATTACAAATAACTTCATTTCTGGACATTTRTGGTTTGATTTCTTTGTATGTATGGATCACTTGGGTTGTTACCGACATCTGGTGAAAATTTCACGTCATTAGCACCTCTAGTAATATATTTACTGAGAAAAATGGTGACGTGTTCAATACTTATTTTACCCGCTGTAACTGTCTGTTAGAGCTTTTATGTGGTGGATTCAAATGACTTTATCCCCCTGACTTTCTAAAGATCAGTGGCTTTTCATATATGCAACAGAAAAGATAGACAAACTTTGTAAAGCT